CCAGACGTGAGCACATGTGAGGACAGGCTTGGGCGTAAACGCATATAAGGTTTAGTTCACCATCTCAAACTCCATTCCCGCGTAATTATTTTTTCTCTAATCTCTTTATTTGCCTCTAGACCTGCCTTTCAATGTGCTTCAGCCATCTCATTCCCCTTTGTACCATTGCGCTTGACTCAGAAGAACGTGATGAACCTCCAAGGCAAGTTGAGTGTAGTAGAGACTGTTTCTGTTTCTCTGACTCAATCACAAGGAGCAGGTTAAATAGGCGTAAATTATGTTTTTCACAGCCTTTTGAATAAAATGCAGTATGAAAACTCATTTGATAGTATACATAAGGATTACATTTGCTCATTTAAGGCCCCTTTTAAGCATGAATTTAAAAAGATTTGTAATACCTTAGCATTCATGCAAATGCCTGAGCACCAAATTGGCTGGTGTTAATTAAGGCTACTTTGCGTATCTGATAAAAGTATTATAAAAGCTATATAAAAAGCTGCTGATTTAAAAAAAAGACTTGTTGGTTCTATAGACCAAAACAAAGCAAGTTATCACGGGTAAAACGGTAAAGTTAGTGTTCTCTTTGCATAGGAATGATTATACTATGTCCTAGCAGACTTATGGGGCCTAGGTTATAACCCAGGCTTATGCACCATGGTGATATGGATATTTGCCTTATGCATTTTAGGTGCCTTGACAAGATGTCAGAGAGGGTTATCTAGATTCCTGAAGGGAAGATAAGACCGGACTCAAGCAATTCTATGCCGGCACAACCCTCTTTCTGTATGCCTAAATCAGACAGGACCCTCTTAATGTCCAGCATCATCTGGCTCTGAAGTGACCCTGGAAAAACCTCGATATAGAGTGGTTGAATGGCCGAGACGACGTGGCTTTGGCGAAGGAGGCGGCATGCCACGGACCAACTGGCGAGATGAAGGCGGTCGGACATATGGAGATGACGAAGCCAACGATGCCGACATAGAGGTCGGGGTTGAGGTCAGTGCGTGTGCTTCTATATGTGCTTGTTTCTGTCCACAAGAAACAACGGAAGAGGAAGATTCTAGAAAGCTAGGCTCTCCTCGGCTGCCCTGGCCACTCGTAGGCTTGGGGCCAGTATCTCCGCGTCGAGAATTCGGATGGATAAACGCCAATTCGGTAACAGCTTGACGCCGATGGCTGGCGGAAGAAGAGGAAGTAACAGTAGAGGCGACACCGGCGGACTGGGAAGCGGATGACGATGCAGACGACGATAGTGTAGCGGCTCGCAACCTAGCCGGGATCTGCCGGTCAAAAGAAGCCTCGGCTGAAGATGGGCCGATCAGTTGAAGGCCAGAAAACAACAAACCGGACAACTCGACTGTTGCTGAGGCCGAAGAGGGCAAGGAAGTGATGAGACGTGGTGTGGCAGGCTTCATAGTAGAAGGGGGCTGGTGACAGTGTTGGTTACGATTTCGACGATGCAAAGTATAAGGATGAGGAGGAGGAGGATGAGTGAGAGGAGTGTGGTGGTGGTGATGATGTTGTGTTCTGGCGGATGGAGGTGTTAGTAAGCCTGTCGGCCGATGGCAGGTCAGACAGGAGATAGGCATGATGAATCCGGAAGAATCGTATTCTCTGACGGCAGCAGAGAAGGAAAGTCCTCGAGACCGCAGTCCTTTAAATCCTTCCCCCGGTTTAGCTTCCATCTTTCCGGCACTTTCGTCGCCTTCCCTTCTAGAGACATCGCGCCGACCTGCTGAAAGCCGATCAGCCGAGCGAGAACGAGCTGGTTCGTGAAGCCTTTGAGCATAGTAACTAAGCGATCGGTGACTCAATGAAGATGTCGACTGAAGTGATGGTCTTTCTTTGGCCCGATCAGACTCCATGCCATGGGTCAGCCTTGTGATAGTGGCCTTATTCTGATCTCTTTGGCGTCCAAAAGCCTCCTTGTGTTTAGCATCTAACACTAATGACCGACTTGACGACTCAGTGGACTTATCAGTCGATCTCAATGGCCGGCGAGCTGATGGGCGCTGTGACTGGTATCCAGTATCCTCGGTCATTCGTTTTTCCGATGATCCAATCTGGCTAGTCAAAGCTGGGGTAGGATGTGCCTCTAATTCACTCTGTAGGTTGCCTAAACCAATAAGGGATGGAGATACGCCTCGACTCAGACTGGGCTTTCGACGGTATACCCCAACTTTACCATCTCCGGCCCCAAAGGCTGGGCTATTGTCACCTTCCTTGACACGGCATGGACTTCCGCTTCGACTGGGTGCTGGACTTCGGGAGGTACCCTTCTTGGGTATACAGTATTGAGGCATAGTCGATGTATCACCTGTCGGTCTTCGGGGCAGTCGACGACCCGAATCATTGGGAGACACAAGGCGGTGTTGCCCACGACGCATGGAATCGCAAGTAGTAGAGAAACCACTCGAAATCTGGTTGGAACCCAACAGGCTGGGCGATCGAGTGGAATGTGAAAAGGCTTCCTGGCAAGGGCTGATATTGGAATGGCCAAATTCTTTCCGATGTCTGGACGGCTGAGCGTCTGTTTTACGCTGCTAAGAAGGGAAGAAATTTGAAGCTAATCTTAGAATGAATAATAATAAGTTTTTTTGAATTGCTGAAAGACAACCCAGGTCGAAGCTAATTAATGTGTATAAAAAATTTTGGTGCATATCCTCATCACAATCTCATGAATATACATCGCATTATATGGCCTCGCAGCTGCCTATAAGGTATGGAATCAAAGGCCAGAAAGAGGGACTTTTTAATTGAATATATAAAGACTTCCTTAGTGGATTAGTGTGACTTAACTTTCTATTTCGAAGAAAAGGTTGGTGACGCATATTTATTAATGTCTGTATGTAATATTCATTGTTGAGCTCAGTGCCATTTCGAGTGAAAGTTTTGAATGTGAAGATGTTCTAAGGCCGATCTCACAAGAATACGGCAGCAGATTCCACTTGACAAACTGAGAATTGTCATTACTGGAATATTCTTGATGAGGCAGTTTCCGAAGCAATCTCCATCGATTCCAGTGAAAATGTGCTAAACCTTAGTTCGTCATATTACGAGCATCCTCAGAGCAGGATATCATTCTTACGATCATAATTACTTATTTTCGTTTTCCAAGTAAGCTTTCAATAAAAAGAAAATAAAGAATGTAATCGACTGCTTAAATAAATAAAACCTTGCTTCATCGACAATCCCACCAAAGAAGGTGAAATGACAATTGGCTGGCCTTCTTTGAAACTCACTTTTTCCCCGTGATCATAGGAGCAATCGTGGAAATATGTTTTAGTAGATAGCATGTCAAAACTATGAGCTGCACTACCACATGCCTACCAATCAGGTCGATATACATCTCCCGAATATAATTTTTTTGTGCACAGCAGTCAGAGCTGGGTCAGCAAGGTTAGCTAATTCTTTACAAGCTTAAAGTCGTTATAAGAATGCGTTCAAATTCTTATGATATTTATCAAGTGATATGACAAACAAATATTCATCAAAATTTCACCGAATCCGAAAGAGGAGTGCTAAGGTAAAACCGAACAACAGCATACCAAGGGGACCCTGCTGTGATCTTCCGGCTGGATTGAGTCATGAATCTCTTTATTACGCACTTGAACACAACGTGTAGGTTAGCTCAGTAATATTATATCAAGAGATACGTATCAAACCAATCAATATCATATAGTAATAATAGTAATAGTAAATATTGTATAATATGGAGATTCTCTAGTAAGAAAACTAGTTGGCCATATTGTAAGACACAATCAGGCCATTTCATCTCATTTCACATCAAAATAGATCATACCGATTTCGCAGTAGCAACATCAGGTATAGCTTTTATTTCGCTTATAAAGGGGAATTAAAAGGATTTGGAAATTGACCTTAGAGAGGAAGGATTGCCTCAGATGAGCGACTATAGATTTGTGCAACGAAATCCTCAGTGCACCGTCCTACGATTCCTACAAATCCATGCTGAAATTTCTTCTGCCATGCGACAGATGTCGTCATAGCGTGAAGCGATGATTTACCAAAAATTTACCAAGAAAGTTAGCCATCAGCAATCTTGCCTACTTGGTATAATCGGACATTGTACAAGTATTGAGTCATCTCATGAATTTTTCGTAAAGCTTAGTTTCACACTATAACGATTTTTGTCTAAGCGAGACACATGAAAGATAAGCTTGGATTCGCCAGAGTTGGTGATGCGTACAAATCCAGTAACAACACCAAGGCAACTCTCTCTCGTCTTATGGTGAGGCCAGTCCACGAGTCCCATCCACCCAGCCTTCTAAACTAAATGAAAAGTATAAAAGCATGAATTTATCAAGAGCTTTTCATCAGACAGCTGCTTTCATGAGAGTGACTCATTGAAAAACATGTATCGCCGGACGATGGAGAGACAGTGAATCACTGGTTAGTTTACTTTAGGACGCTATTGCTATATTACTCTGTTTTAGAGGCCCAATCTACTTCCATACCTTCTCGAATTTTCCATTTCACAACACCGAGAAATGGGGCCTGGAGCCAAATTTATACTGCGGCTGGAACCGAGTGAAATCAGTCAACCAGCAAGATAAGAAACTAATCTTAAAGGTTGGAGTTCAAAGTAAACAAGCAGGTGTGGTAACGACCACCTAAACTCACCAATCAAAAAGGACGCAGCCCTAAAGGAATCGAATATAAACAAGTGAGAAAAAGTTATAATAAGGGAGTGAGATACAAGGGGAGGGAGTAGGTAGATGTGCCAGGACAGGAGTGATAACACAAGAGTTTGGCAGAAAGTTGGTCAGGGGAGTGACTTCACTTGATTCTGACGAATTTTAGCTTGGTCCTAAGACTGGAAAGACTCATTGGCAATGTAGGCGAAACATCCGGGAATGTATCAAGTCAAAGGTCCAACGCTGAGACTTATCATAACGAGCGTAGCAGAGGAGTTCGGGCAAGGTGCGTACAACTAGGTCGCCATTACAACACGACAAAGTTGCGAAAACTAATTTAAACCACTTTTATACAGTAAAAGTATGCTGTTACAAAACAGAGGCCAAAAAGTGTCCGTCTTTATAGCTTCGATTAGGGATAGTGTTTATTCACTAATCTTCTTCTCGACCTACTATAAATGAGCCTTTTAAAGTATGAGGTAGAGTATCAACATAATTCCC